AAACCCACCCATGGCAACCACTCCTTTTTCTCTCCGGTTAGATCCAAACGGCCAAACTAACATCCCCACACACGGTCCCTCCCTCAATCTATTTTTTAAACTATAATTGTCTTCTCTTCATCCGGTTTTGGTACAAGAATATGAATAATGTTTCACCGTATAATTATGAATTTCTACCACCATGACCGAAAAAAATGGTGTTATCTGAAATATTTTTCTGAATTTCATAACTGATATTTTCTGGATTTGAAGAACTCTTCGTTTTTTTTAACTATCAATTTTAATTAATTGATGTGATTATTTATTGTTGGAAAAAATGGTGTCATCTGAAATATGTCGGGAACGAACCTTGTTGGAAAAAATAAAATTTCACCAGAAATTACAGTTCTTAGATTTGATTCAAAGATCTAACTAGATATCTGCATAATCGATTTTAATATATGATGATAAGTTGTGGTAAAGTTAAGAAAGAAGAAGAAGGTAAAAATATGGCAAAAATACTATATTAAAAATCATTGATTGTTACAGTGTTTAAGATGAAAACAATGATGGTAAGGGGAAGGAAGAGATGTCTAATGAAAGGAGAGAAGAGAAGGGTGGATGGCGATAGGGGCGATGGCGCTGGAAATGGGTGGTGTTGAAAAAAAGTGATATGTTTAAAGAAGAAAGAAGAAGAAAGAGATTTTTTTAAAAAAAAATTAGCTAAAAATTGCCCCTTCACGCGCTCCTATGTATGTGTGTTGCACTCTCTTTGTCATGTCAGCGAAAAGTGTTCAATAGATACTCATTTTGAACAATAAAAGTGTTCAATAGGTACACGCCTTAGTTGAGGTGTTTAAATGAATTATGCGGACAACTTTAAGGGGCCGCAGATGACTTAAGCCTAAATAATTTTATTATTTACTATTTTCACAAATTTTTCTGTAACACTTCTTAAAATTAATTTACACTAAGTAATTAATTACAAATACATTTTCTATCCCCACCGCCCCTTTTTTATTTCCCCCCATACCCAGCCCCCACCCACCCCTTCACTTCTTTCTTCTTCCTTCTTCTTCACCATTTCTAGCTCTTAACTGCTTCATATTTTCCAATGAGCTTCACCACACCTCCTGTTTCTCTTCCTTTCTTCGTCTTATTCGGTGAACCAACAAATTTTTTTAGCTCCAATGAAAATCGATAAAATTTATAGGTGTGAAATTGACATCAATAATAAGATGTTGTTGTTGGATTTTGTGGGTTACTAAAGAGATGGTGAAATTAATTTAGTTGATAGAGTTGAAGATGAAGATGGAGGAAAAAAGGATGCTTCAATGGAGAAGAAGTTTATTGGGGAAGACAACAAAACAAACAGAAAAATAAAATAAAAATTTTATGGGCCAATAGGAAAATTCATATAGTTTAATAAAAGTTAATATATTAAGAAAGTAATATTTAAAATATAACATATATTGACCTATAAAAAATGACATGTGTATGATATTATATTCTTTTTTTCCTTTTTTGACTCTTTCACAAGTTATTAGATGAGTGAACTCACTCTCTTTGCTACGTCATCCCTTAGGGTTGCATTTAATTCACTTCAAAGATATTAAAGAAGGTATTTAAACGTTCGTGTAGTTTAAGTGTTAAAGTAAATTATCCGACCAAGTTCGGAGGTTTTTTTATGTATTTTCTCAATTTTAAATAAAGTGTTTCTTTTTTCTCCTTTGCAAAAAATATAAATAAACACAATTTTCAACTCTAACTTCATAAATTTCAAATAAAAAATATATTTAGAATTCATGGTTCAATGCCTGCTTAAATTTTATGATATAAATTTCTTCGACCATTTAAAAGAATTGTACATTTTAAACTTCTTAATTTATCCAGAAGCTTTTATGATTAATCACATATATTTATGATTATAAGTTTTGAAATTTTTATAACTACTCAAATAAAATCCCATATTTAAGATATAAGTTTTTTTAAAATTATTATTATTTAAAATTTTATACCAAATTAAATTATATTAGATAAATTGATAAAAGCAACCAAAGATAAACAAATTGTCTATAGTAGTTTTTTAAAAAAAAAAGATACAGTACTGTAAATCTATAAATGTCTGATTCTCAACTACTCCATATTAATGTTGTTGTTATATGGAGCCCCTTTGCACATAGAAGATTCCAAATATTTGAAATTCCATGATTTAACAAAGTGTTTTTTATTGAATCATTATTTTAATTTTTAATATGAATTTTTACATAAACTGTCCGTCAAATTTATTGTTTACTTTTTGTAATTCTGATAGATTATATACATATTATATATGATTCTACATATATCGATTATATATCTGCTATTATTTTTTTAATATAAGTAATTGAAAAGGTGACTGGATATTATATAAATTCAGTATAATTTCATAAATAGAGTCGAGAGGATAGTGTGTATGCAGACTTTATACCCTTCTTATCTTTGTGGAGGTAAATAAACTATTTTCAATAGACACTCAATTCAAATAAAGAAAAGAAAAGCAATTCAAAGTAATTCTAGACACAAAAAACACGAAAAATTAAGAAGCTTGAAGATATAATAAAAACACTACATAACATATTGAAAGAAGGGAGTGCGAGAATGATACTAATGTTGAAAGAAAAAAATTAGTAGTAACGGCTAAAAATTTACTACAATAATCAAAATACAAAAAATAACATATATATAAAATACTTAATCTTGAATCCAATTATTTATATATTTAATTTATTCGCTCAATATCGATGCAGAAACTCATAAACTTTGTGGCGTCCCCCTCTTGACCGTCTAGATAGAGTTGTTGTAGTTTCAAATTTCAATATTTTTTATAAGTATTTGATTGCCTGTTTCCCTCCCTAATGTCCCTTTCCTAGCAGGCAACCGTACACAATATTTTGAATCACTGTATGATTTAACCCTAAAAACATGCTTTGAGGTGAAAGCAAAGAGCAAACAACAAGCTAACTAGAGATGGTAGGGGTCGATCATCGGTGTCAAATAAGCGGATTGAATTGAATTTGAATGGATTAAAATGAGTCAAGTTAATAATGATTCGTTCAAAAGTTACTTAGGTTAAATAGGCTAAAAACGAATCATAACACAACCCCTCAATTCTTACTGAATTATAATTTTATGAATTAATTTTTTCACTATGTAAAGATATATGTATTATTACTCACAACTAACATCCCTTATGTGTACATAATGTATCAAATGACAAATTTCACTGGCATAATACATAAATGCGCCCTTTAATTTGATCGCAGTGGGCGACTACGCCCTCTAACTTTGAATGTGCACAAATAGACACTTAAACTATCCAAAAATTAAACAAGTAGACATACGTGTCCTATGTGACATATACATGTAGGACACAAAACTACCACATAAGACGCCACATAGAATACGTGTCTCTACTTGTTCAACTTTTGGAAAGTTTAGTGTGTGTGCACACCTAAAGTTGAAGAGCATAAATGTCAGTTGAAGTTAAATTAAGGAGTACATTTATGTATTATGCACTACATAACTATTTTGGATAAAATCAATAGAATAATTGAATTATACTTATTGTAATAATAAAAGTTTAAGATTTTTTTTTATCACATTAAAGTACTTCAATTCTCCCTTCTATAACAATAAAGTCACTAGAGGGGAACGTAAACAATATTATTGTTTGTTTTAATGCACACATGTGCTATTACTCATAATACACGTTTGATTAAGATTAGGTTTCTTTAATTAATTTAGGCATTAATTTTTTATTAGCTACTAGTTATTTATTTCTACATTCTTAGAGTTAGCTTATAATAATTTGTTTATTTCATCTGTATATAAACTCCATTGAAGACTCATTAAACATATATACATTTTTTCATTCTATTTCTCTGCATCTATAATACGGTTAAACTTCTTTATACCAACATTATTTGTCTGAATATTTTTTAAGTTACTATATTGAAATGTTATTACAAGAAACATATAATATAATATAAAATAAACATATGATTTTAAAGAAAATTTGACTATTACAATGTAATATTATTACAAAAGATGATTCTTATAGTGAAATTTAATCGTATAATATATTAATTTTTATACATTAATTAACTCAATCGAAAGATCAACCAGAGTGATCTCATCTTGCTTACTTGTGACGAAGCTTCTAGCTCTAAATAATAATAATGACGATAAAATATCCAATATAATTTTATAAATGAAATTTAAGAAGGATTGGGTATACGGAGACCAAACATTGTATAAAACTAAAATGGGGAAGTATAAAATGAAAGCACCTCCTCCTTCATCTCTGAACTGTGTGGGAATTTGATGAAGTTTTTTCTTTGGGTTTTTGCTGAGAAAGTTAAAGGGTCAATTTTTTTTAATCCAAATCAGCCATAGCCACTAAAAGCCATAAAGTCTCTTGTGTGTCATTTGAACATTAGGTGCTTCATTGGGATTCTTGAATTTTGTAAATGTGAAAAACTGCTTAAAGTTGTGTTCTTTACTATAACTAGATTCTGAATTACACACTTCCTTGCATTCCATTTTTGTGAAGAAAAACACAAAAACATTTAAAGGGTCAGTGATTCAATAGTAGTTAATGTCATCTGGGAAACAGCTCATTTCACCTGAGGCATTTTGCACCAATTTTGAAAGAAGTGACTTTTTGGGCTGTAGTTGTCACTTGTCATCTGAATGTATATTTTTCAGAAATCATGTGCAAGAACTGTTCATTCTTTCATTTTTTGTAGCATTTGATGATTTTGGACCATGATTGAGTACTTGAGCTTCAGCTTCTGTCAAGTCTTTTGGATTCATCAAACCAAATCTCCAAAAAAAGAAGTCTTTTGCTGCTAAATTTGGAATCTTTTTGCATAGATTTCTCCTCTCTTGTCATGTAAACACAAAATACTTTTCTTATATAAGACAAAGATTACTCCTTTTTCCTTTTTACCTTCAGTTTCTTGAGTAATTCACTTAGGCTTATTAGTTGTTTAAAAGGGTCTCATCAGTTGTCTCTTCTTTACCAGCATATACTGTTATAGAATAGTGCCAATTTCAGTTGTATATGGTGGGTCAGACAGCACAATAATTCATATAAAGTTTTGTTCTTGAAAATCTTGTTGTTGTGTTAAGCGAACAGGAATGTCCTGTGGGGTTGAGTTTCTTGAAAGTTCAAAGAAAGGTGTGAAAACTATTCTGGGGTAATGAGTAAGGAGGTGAAGAAAGGGAAGCAGGAGGGTAAAAGTAGTTGTGATGTTGCTGAGAAAGTTATGGTGGCTGTTAAGGCATCAAAAGAGATACCTAAGAATGCTCTTGTGTGGGCTTTGACTCATGTTGTTCAACCTGGAGATTACATTACACTTCTTGTGGTTGTTCCTTCACAAAGCTCTGGTATAACATTCATCTGACTTGTTTATATTTCTTTCAGTATCTCATTGTGGTAGCACTAAAATGTAGAATGCAAGTATTCAAGTATATGTCAACTACATTTATAGAAGCAAAGAGCCTACATAAAGAGAACTTTTGATTGTTATCATGGAATTTATACAGAATATAGCTATTTAGTATTCTTACTTGCTTTGAGATTAGGTACTTATTAGAGTGCAAGCTGGTGCGGACACCCGTTATAAAATAATAAAAAAGAAGATAGGTACTTAAGAGTGTTGCCTGATTGAAACAAAAATTCTCTGAATTGAACAGAAATCTTGATTTGGTGATTATTCTGTTCCTCTTTCCTGATTGACACTCTCATGTCTTCTTACCGGTGCTGAATATATTCCTTGTGGATTTATCCGGCAGTTTGTTACTTGTAGCTATTTTAAAGCTAAGTTGATCTTGGCTTCTGTGAGAATGGGAAAAATAGTCCTTCAAATGAGGATTTACTTCTGAAGCCACTGACTTCTAATTAGTCTAATGAAGCTAGTCCTGCATTGTTTTTCTTTACTGCTTTTCTGAAGGGTCTCCTATATGCATCTCTACTAAATTCTTTTATGCCTTGACAAGTAAATACCTGGTGCTTCTTGTTATCAGTTTTTTCTGTTTCAGCGCTTTGCGCTTCCACAAAATAGTCTAGCAACGGGATGTTCTAATTATATGGGCATAACTTTAGTGATTTTCACAAATATTTGCTAGGTAGAAAGATGTGGGGTTTCCCCATTTTTGCTGGAGATTGTGCCAATGGTCCCCGGAAGTCACATTCCGGAAATAGTAATGAGCAAAAATCAGACTTAACAGATTCCTACTCTCAGATGATCCTTCAGCTCCAAGATGTTTATGATCCCACTAAGGTTAATGCCAAAATTCTCTATTTGTGAGATTGTTATTAGGTAATTTTACACTGACATACTAAAAGATTGGTGCTTTTCGTTCACTTCACCAGATAAACATGAAGATTAAAATTGTTTCTGGTTCACCGCATGGAGCTGTGGCTGCTGAGGCAAAGAAGAGTCAAGCTAATTGGGTTGTTTTGGACAAGTAATTTTAGAAGTTTTCAGAGTGTGATTCCTTGTTTATGTTCTTTTATTCTATATCTTCTCTAAGCTGTTGCTGATTCTTGTTTGAACTGTTCCAGACATCTCAAACATGAGAAGAAATGTTGTATGCAAGAGCTGCATTGCAATATCGTAGTAATGAAACGATCTCAACCAAAAGTTCTCCGCCTAAATTTAGTCAGTTCACCTAAAAAGGAACCTGATGTCTCGGGCTCATTATCTTCAGAGAAAGCTCAATCATGTGGACCAGAACTAGAAAAGAATTATTCATTGGCTTCTTCTAGAGGTCCATTAGTAACACCAACAAGTAGTCCAGAAATTTTCAGTGTTACTGAAGTTGGTACTTCATCAGTTTCAAGTTCTGATCCAGGAACTTCACCATTTTTTGTCGCTGAAGTAAATCGGGATTTGCATAAGGCAGAGTTGTTAGCCTTAAAGGAAGATCAAGATGTAGATAGTTCAAGTTCAGAGAGTGAGAGTGAAAATCTATCTTGTTCAAGCTCGAGATTCCAACCGTGGGTGGTGGACAGTGTCAGTTCACATTGTCAACTCTCTCAACGCCAGCAAATTAGCTCGATAAGATCTTTTGACAGGCCACAAACATCTACAACCAATTCATTACTGGAGAAGTTTACTAAGCTTGATACAGAAGGTGGCTCTGGATCCCCGAGCTATAGAAATGATATGGATTACAATCGAAATATGAGAGAAGCAGGTCCATTAACCAGAAGTGCACCTCTTGGCCCTCCTCCCTTGTGTTCAATATGTCAACACAAGGCTCCTGAATTTGGGAAACCTCCCAGGTGGTTCACTTATACAGAGCTGGAGCTTGCAACAGGAGGATTTTCACAAGCCAATTTCTTGGCAGAGGGAGGATATGGATCCGTTCACAGAGGAGTCCTTCCAGACGGTCAAGTTGTTGCTGTCAAGCAACATAAGTTGGCAAGTTCTCAAGGGGATCAAGAATTTTGCTCGGAAGTTGAAGTGCTCAGCTGTGCTCAGCACCGAAATGTTGTCATGTTGATAGGATTCTGCATTGAAGACAGGAGAAGATTGCTAGTATATGAATATATATGCAATGGATCTTTAGATTCTCATCTATATGGTATGTGTACTCATGTTTGTTTATGTCCTTTACACACTCTGATGAATCTGCTGATTATTGCTTCAATCAATGAATGGACTTCTTTTAGGTTGGCTGGGTTACTTTGCATGAACTGTTACAATAATGGTGATATAAAGAGGGTTTTTGTGGTGTCTAAGATTAGTCTTTCTGCCTTTGTATTACTTAATATCATGTTCTGTATTTACAGGACGCAATAAGGAACCTTTGGAGTGGTCTGCACGTCAAAAGATAGCTGTTGGAGCTGCACGAGGTTTGCGATATCTTCATGAAGAGTGCAGAGTGGGCTGCATTGTCCATCGGGACATGAGACCAAACAACATTCTCATCACTCATGACTTTGAACCACTAGTATGGACAATCTCTTACTAATAAGAATGTTATTCAAGATAAATGTTACTTCTAGCCAAGGCTCCTTTGGAGCATAAAAAGAGTCTGCACCAGTGTCTCATATTTCCCTGTGTATCTGTTCTTGATAGCTAATGACTTGTCAAAATTCTCTTACATGGATCTACCTGTCCAATTACCATTGACAAGACGGAGAGATAGATAAGCAGTTAAATGCAAATATGACATTTCTTTTAGGTGTATCACTAATATACATGGTCACATCAATTATTCTAATCTCTCTAAGCTCAATTGATTTTTCTTGTCGGCTTAGTATATATAACAAATAAAACAGATTCCTAGTGCTTATAGCTTTTCAAGCAACTGATTGGAAGACGAAAACAACAAAAGGAGATCACCTTTGTGAACAAGTTAACATCATGAATTTATTGTGCTTTAAGCAGTACTTCGAACTGTACTAATCTTGCTTCACCTTCGTTTTCTAGGTCGGAGACTTTGGTTTGGCTAGATGGCAACCGGATGGTGATACATGCGTTGAAACGAGAGTACTTGGAACATTTGGGTTAGGCCTTGGAAAGTTGTTTGTATTTTACTTTTGATATGCCATTGCAGAACTAATAAGCTAATTTTCTGTATTTAGGTACTTGGCTCCTGAGTATACTCAAAGCGGCCAAATTACTGAGAAAGCTGATGTTTACTCATTTGGTGTGGTGCTCGTAGAGCTTGTAACTGGTCGTAAAGCAGTGGATCTTAACAGGCCTAAAGGCCAGCAGTGTCTCACAGAATGGGTATACTTCAACATCTTATTTTACATCTGTGTTTAGTTCTGAAATTATAAGGAGCAGTTTATACAGATATGCAGGAGTTCCTACCATTTCCCCCTTTAACATATCAATGAATTTGTCATGAATTCATTTTCAGGCACGTCCATTGTTGGAAGAATGTGCAATCGATGAGTTAATAGATGCCCGGATAGGAAGCAGCTACAAGGAGCACGAGGTGTATTGCATGGTGCATGCTGCATCTTTGTGCATAAGGCAGGATCCTCAGACTAGGCCTCGAATGTCTCAGGTATGTGTTTCCTTTTGCATAGACTTTTTACAATCTTGATTATGATTCTTGCAATTTAGTCATGAATAGGGCAGGATTCTCATGTAATTTTGGTTTTATCTCAGGTACTTCGAATTCTTGAAGGTGACCTGATGATGGATTCTGGTAAAATGTCTACAACACCTAGGCATGATGTGGGAAGCCAAAGTGGAAGGATTTTGTCTAATCACCTCATGCAGTATGAAAGGTACAGTGGTTCTATACGAAATGACGAATTGGAGGGTCTAAGTCCAAAGCTCTCATTTGATAAAAGGAACCCCTCTATTATTTGGGATAGGGATAGTCACAGGACTGCATTTTCAGATCATCTGTAAATTACTTTGTACCTGACTCTTGTGATCAAAGATATATATTGCTGCTATATCAGCAGTTCAAGCCAGGGAGTTCTGATCAAAAGCCATATATCTTTCCATTACTTGTGCACAAGTGAGTCATAATAGTATTTTTTTTTTTTTTTATATTGGTACCCAATCTACTTGTGCTTATCTCAAGGAAGGAAACATCGATTCTTGAGGCATTGGATTCTCATTAATGTTTGTGTTACTCTCAGATGTTCTCGTTTCCACTTAGTCCCCACCATAGGCACGAGTTTTGTCCTGAGTTAGGTTAGCACTACAGACTACACTCTACGAGGGCCAACAGTGGTTGCTACTTTTTTCTTCCTTAGTGACTCAAACCAAACCTTGTGGTCAAAAGTGTAGGGGTTCTACCACTAGAACAAGCCTCACTTGTCTATGATTGTTTTGATACACCAAACTTGCATTACTACAAGTTTCACTGCTGCATTTTATGAGAAAAGCACTCTATTTACAAATTTCTTGTAAAAGTCAACAATTCAGATAAAGATCCAATATACATTCATTGTTCAAGCAATTCAGAAAAAGATCCAATATATATTCATTGTTCAAGCAATTTGATTCTTCGGTGCCATCTTTGCAGTGAAAAGGGAAAATCCAACCTTTGTACATCTCCAAGCTAGTAGTATCAAAGTTGTGAAGGGTCTCCATTACAAACTTGGAATGGACTTGGCTCGAATAAACTGCTTGAGCATAGCTTTCTCCTCATCAATGCGCTTTTTCTCCTCTGGATCTTTTGGTTTAAGTTTTCTCTTCTCTTCCAATATCCACTTCATTAGTTCTCGTTGTTGATCTTCTGGTATTGGTTCATGAACAATAGCAGGCTGCACAAGAGCTGGAACAGTTGCTTGCTTCTCAGCAACTGTTGATGAAACTGAACTGCTAGGAACATCTGACACTTCTCCTGCCTCAGTTCCCACATCTTTCTTTTTGTTCATGAAAATATAAGCTACATAAATTACACAGAAAAGCATAAGTCGATGTATGATGAATGTAAAAGCAAGATGAGTTATTGAATGAGAATTGGAAAGACATAGAAGCACAGCTCCAAATGATGTAGAGAATGCAAGAGTAACGAAAGAGTACAGGTTGAATTATCTTCACTCATCAGAATCAGACATCTCTCTATGCTCATTACATGTACATAATAAGTGCTCGCTACTTCTCCGTTAGAATCATCTCTTAACAGCACATGTTTTTGCTAAAGAAATGTAGTGAAAGAACAATAAATCCACATGCAGTAAAGCAAAATACAGAGTAAAAACTGTCCACCACTTGGAGTATGAGTTAAACGTATTATGATTTCTTTATATCGAAACTGAATATGTTTAGATACAAGAAATATAGATCAACTGATTAAGACATATGGTGCACAAGGACTATAAGTCACTAGATAAGATCTCAATAGAAGGCTATCCAGTTATGTACATTTCCAACTTGAATAGAATCACCAAGTGAAATGCACCATGAAGTAAAAGTGCATACAAGATTCCATTCTTTCTTCTTTTTAAAGTAGAATTTGGCTTTGCTTAGAGAAATTATCAATCAAAGCTCAGACTTTCTCATTTTGCTAGACCATACAAAACTGAATCGCAAGATTTCACCAGACTTCCTCAATTTTTCTTTCAGTAATGGGAAGTGAAGTGTAAACTAGGCCGGAGGAATAAAAAATACAGACTAGAGAGTGGACTTACTAGTTTATATAAATGTCAATTCTATCAGAGTATTTATTTATGAAACTATCAGACAACAATCAAATTTTAGAGCAAGCAACACTACGGACACCGCAAACAACCAAAACGCAGCAAACTTTACATGTCAAAACATTGTGAGTGACGTGAGAACCCCATTTAAGTTCTGTTGAAAATATAATTAAGTAAATAAAAATGTGCTCTCTCTAATAGCTTAGGCTTTTAGATGAGATGGTTACACACTTTAACATGGTATCAGAGTACTGGGATTGAGTTTTTGTCATTAATCGGAGAACTCATGCACTATAATACAATGCATCTGCCCCCAAGGCCTAGCTCAAGTGGCAAAAGGTGGAGGATTTGTGGCTTAGGTCGCAGGTTCAAGCCCCACACCATACAAAGCGAAACCTGGTATTTAAGTGGAGAAGGGTAGAGGGGCGGACCCATTATCCACCGAGTTTAGAAGGCTATGATTGGTCCAAAGGGTGGGTCACAGACGAATTTCTCGGTTATCAAAAAAATAATACAATGCATCAACTAAAAATATTTAATACTATACATTCAAATAAGGACTAGCCTCATCCCATATTTAGAAGGAAAAAAGCTACGGAGAAATTAGCTAGGAGAAGACATTTATATTACAAAATTCAAGGGGTGAAAAAATGATCAAGTTCTCTTGGTTTGCATTTTATTGAACTTTCTCCCATCTATCTCTTTTCTCAAGTGTTTTTTGGCCTCGTAGTGCATCGTTTTCATTCCAAACTACTTTGCAATGTCAAATTCGACAGTGACCAGTGAATGGATATTTGAACCACCGTATACAAGAGAAAACCAAACCTTTTTTGAGTTATAATTTGAGAAGTGTACTCTTGTTCTAACTTTTCTTATCATTCCTCCATACCTTTTTCAGCCCCTATCAGCTACGAGCAAGTGTAGTATCTATTCCAATCATCTTAATATATTTCTTGTCTTTTTTTCCTAAATAAGAGCTACGATCAAAGAAATCGTAAAACTGTATACTTGACTTGTTGAGCATTATACAAAGCTTACAATATCATTTTCCTTATACGAGCTACCATCTCCAAAACAACTCAATATATTCATCCAATAAAGTGATGAACCAATACAGTAGGCATTACTCCACTTCAGAGACCAACTGATGTGAGGTTCTGTTGAATTTTCAATAACCATTTGTTTTAGATTAAACAGAATCTTACATTAGTGGAATCAAAACAAAATTAAACTTATAACCAGAAGGGATCTAGTATTTGTTGAGCAGGTATAGTATTTAGCAGCACGAACTAACCTCAGTTTTAACCAAATGTATAGTTGAAAAATTTTGTGACTCACAAAATTGGTACTCCTTTCATTCATTTTTACCTGTCCACTATACTAAACTTTTACTTTGACATTTGAAAAACATATTTAACCGTCAGAATTAATTACTTACTTATTCTCCAAATCATCCCAAAACCTAAAACTAAACAGTAATTACATGCGAAGTTCAAAGTGGACGCCTCTACACCAATTGACCGATCTATCCAGATTATAACAAAGGATCTACAAAACTGCAGTCATAATCGGTACTAGATAGTTAAAGAGCAAGTAAATTGGCAGAGATTGAATACAAGTTAAGGAGTGAGGGAAGAACCTCCAACAGACAAATTGACAGCCAAGAACATAGGAAAAATGAACTTGTTACGGCGGAGAAAAGATTCCTTGGGTGGAGGTGGCGGCGCCGCCGCACTACCCACCGGCGTTGATGTTGACGTTGACGTTGACGCCATGGATGATGAGAAGGAAGTTGTTGATTTTGCTTCAACTGCGCTGTAATACAACTAAACACGAATTAAAAGCATGTTGCTTCTTCTGACAAAGTTAAATAATTATTACCTCCATTTCATTTTTAGCTAGCACATGTCGTTGTTGATTGGGTATTTTTCTTAAAGACAATATTCAATTAAGGGAAAATAGTAAATAATAGCAACTTTTAATTCAAATTAAATGCTATAAATATAGTTTGATTTAATTGTACCTCATAGCAAACTGTTGCTATTTCACCTCTCTCCTGGTGAATCTCGCTCGCCACTCTCGTTCTCTCCCTCGCATCTCTCGTTTTTTATACAAATGCAAGTGTATAAAGTGCGTTTGTGTTTGTATAAAGCGAGAGAAAATTGTATATATACATATATTTTCGTTCCCCTCTCTCCCCTCTCCTAGATCTCGCTCTCTCACTCGCCTCTCTCACTTTATACAAAAAACGCAAATTGTATAAAATGCGTTTGTGTTTGTATAAAGCGAGAGAAAATTGTATATATACATATATTTTCGTTCCCCTCTCCCAGATTTCGCTCGCCACTCTCCCAGATCTCGCTCTCTCACTCGCCTCTCTCACTTTATACAAAAACGCAAATGTATAAAATGCGTGAAAATTGTATATGTACATATATTTTCGCTCCCTTCTCCCAGATCTCGCTCGCCACTCTCCTAGATCTCGCTCGCTCACTCGCCTCTCTCACTTTATACAATTGATCTTTTTGTATATGTATACCAAAGAAGATTATACAACTACTTTCTTTTGTATATGTATAGCGAAATATACATATTTATGTTTGCTATGGAGCGCAATTATGCAAACTTTGCTATAGCATACAAATATGAATTTTGTGTTTGCTATATGTGAAAGTTGCTCTTTAATTAATTATTATATTTTAAAATTTTAAATTTGACTTTTAGTACTTTCAATTTCTGAAATATTTTAAATTGTTTAAAGATAATTATTTTTACGTAGTTTTTAAATATATAAATTTTATTTCACAAGACTTAATAATTCTAAGTCAAAACTAAGAATCACTTTTAAAATTCAAATTATGATAAACAAATTGAAACAAAATGAATTATTTAATGATAAGAATAACATTGGAAGAAAAATAGAAAATAATAAATTTCTCTTTATTTTTAAAAATATTTTTAATATAAAGACATTGAGGGAGTAATTGAAATGGGAATACTTCTATATTATTAGCATTTGGGGACATGGATGAGGCATTAGTTTATTGGTAAACTTTCTGTGGAATATTTATGTCAAATTATCCTTAATGAGTAGCTAATAAAATGTAACAAGGTTTAATCAAGTCTTGGATGCATATATGATTTCATCTGTTATGTCAAATTACTCTACAAATGCCATCCAGTTTGATTTTTGTAAAATTATTGCTTCATATCTAATATACTTTTTCTTGGTACATGCATAGTTGACTTTTCGTTAATTGACATAAAAAGTGCAATGATTTCTGTCAAATCATTCATAAATTAACATAGAAAGTGCAACGATTTCTTGCAAGTTGCAACATACACACTAAATAACTACGACATTTAGTACTGCTACCTTCTACGGATGAACCAATGTGCATCGAAAATCCCGGGTATTCAAGAGGAGTTTGAGAGTAACAAGAAAAATATGACAATACAACTAAATAAAGATTGTTATCTTTTTCACCTTCTACTGAAATAATTTGAACATATTATACATGCAGAACAAATAGGGTCATGATCTCGCTGCTATAAAATGTGTAACAGATTTCCATCAGCTGGGGCAAAATTAGTAGCTTTCAAAGGAAATGCAACATTTGCCTTCGGTGGTACCCCAGTCTTTTCTAGCTCCACTGCTTATTACCTCCGTAACCCCTTCCACGGTCTCGAAACCCTCCGTGACCTAGCCATAAAAGAAAATCATTAAGATGAAAAACACTGAGATATTTATTGTCACTATATAGTACTTTGCCTAGCCCATGAAGTTATTGACAGCAAAACACATCCTGCTGGAAAGTCTATGATGAACCAAAAGATCAAAGTTATTTCCACACACGGTTAATAGACTAACCAGGAGGGGGAGGCACACCACGTCCCATTTTTGCCAATTCAGGACCGACTTTCTGTCCGGCCTCCTCAAGAATGTTAACAAGATCCTTTGCAAACCTAGCATTTGCTGCAGTAAAGAATGTGTATGCTGTCCCAGAGGCACCAGCCCTTCCCGTTCTACCAATGCGATGAACATAGTCCTCCAATGATCCAGGAAAATCATAGTTGATTACAAATTTTACATCCTTCACATCTGCACCAATTCAAAAGTAAGTTGTGAAGTGCATAAAATGCTTCCTAGTAGTTAAATTGGTTATGGTGCAAGTTTACTTCTTTCTCCCAAAGACAGCGTTAACAGGCCTTCACAGATTGAAATGTACTAAGCCAACTAATTGAAGTGATAACCATTTTTCAGTACTTCAGAAGTCAGAACAATTGGACATGCTTGCCATAACTTCCTTGCACAAAAAATTTTCCTCATCATAGTCAAGGGCGGAGCTACCCTAGGGCAAGGGGTGTCAAGCGACACCCCTTCGTTGGAAAATTATTTTGTATATATAAGTCAAAATTTGGTTTAATAAATATATATACAAGTGTTGACACCTCTTGACACAAGTTGAAGGTTTAGTGTAGTGGTTGAGGGGTTGCAAAAATTGCTTGAGGTTGTGTGTTCTATCCCTGATAGCAGTGCTTATAAATATTTACTTTATAATTTGACACCCCTTAATAAAAATCCTGGCTCCGCCACTGGTCACAGTACCCTCTTAAGAGCAGATATTAGTCATTGATCTTTGTAGCAAGCAACTATGCAAGGGTATAGTAAGCAAGATATATGGAGCATTCACAACATTTCAAGGTCGCACCCAAGAATGTGGCTTAGTGGTCAATGAAGTGTGTTGAGAACTATGAGGGCTCAAGTTCAAATCTCAACCGAGATAAAAATCAATAGGTGATTTCTTCCCATATGTCCTAGCCTTGGTGGACAAAGTTAGCTGGTACCTATTGCTAGTGGAGGAGGTAGGTATCTCGTGGAATTAGTCGAGGTGCGAGCAAGCTGGCCCGAACACCATGATTATCAAAAAACAAGAACATACCAGGTCCCAATATGAGTTATTTCTGTTTATATATTTAACTGAAATTGTCCTTGTGTCATCTACAAGATGGTACATAGAAAGAGCCTGAATATCTTCATATCTGATGGCCACAAAAACTAGAGATTGGCAATTTATGAAAATATAATTGCAACAACAGATTATAATAAAACCAATAGTCATAGACGGGCGAAAAAGAATAACAATGTATAAAACCATACAGTCAGAGAGTTCAGAGGGATCAGACGCATATAGAGCACTGATTTTAGATGAGATCGAGATTTAGAGAACCTCTAGTTAAGCCTTAGAAGATCAGACATCCAGATTTTGTCAGGGGTTCAAGACTTCTAAGTTCGTGTAAGATTTAAAAAACCTCTGGTTTAAAAAAAAAACCTCTAGTTTGCTTAAACTATTAAGACTGGTTTTCTAAAACCTCTATTTTTCCTATAACTACTATTTTTCGAATGGTGTAATTTTCCTATAATTATTATCTTTGTTATCACTAAAATACATTCTTTAGTGTAATGACCTAATAGAAAACACTAACAAATTAGTTTCAAAAAATAAATAGACCTAATAGAGCAGAATAGATAATAGGAACTTCTAGTTTTCCTAAAATTATTTAGTACATCTATGATTTAGACTCTAGTTTTTTAAAACCTCTAATTTTCCAATAATTACTATCTTTGTTATCACTAAAGTACATTATTTAGTATAGAAATCAATAGATCTAATACAGCAAATTAGATAATAGGATTCATACCACAGTCCCGATTAATTTGTGATTGAGGATAGTTGATAGATCGAATATTTTTTCATCTAACCTTTTACCTACATCTCTTCCCACCACATGCTTCTCAATTTTCTAAATTTGCTTTCCAATTTGCACCTCACCCTTCTATCTGGCATGTAGATTATTCAATTATGATGTTTAACACAATAAATAATTTGTTTCATCCTTCACATAATTGGATGAAAAGGTTGAACAAATTATAACAAATATTTATAGCAAGTACAACAACGTCATTTTAAGCTGAACCTTTAACCGGCCTGGACTATCAATGCCTGCAAATACGTGAATATTTTTCATGCAAGTAGCAAATCAGAACTTCTTGCAATCATTTGTTATTTGTTACAACAATTCAAGCAAATCATCCTCGCCTCCACCGCCCCAAAAAAAAAGAAAGGTTCTCCCACTTTTATTTGTATTATTCTCTTTCTGTGCAGTGTTATCAAAGGTGCACTTTAAGCACGCTTAAGCCTTGAAGCAAGACTCAATATGTGTTGAGCGCTCCACTTCGCTTTATGTGCACTTCAGTGTCTTCAACAAGGTTCTAAGACAAACTTTTCCTTGCCAATGAGCCTCTTATGAAGAAGTGACACTAAAAAATTGACATTTCATTTTATCATAAAAAAAAATTCCAATTTCTTTGGTCATATAATTGTCATTCATGTATATAATTATTAGCCTTGGACTAAACAAATATATTTGGCTTTTTTTCTCCCTTTGCGCTTTTTTTTTTTTTCTATGACAAGGAAAACCCTCAGCCGCACCAAAAACCCTTTTGGTGTGCACAGGGTAAAACCCCCGCTCCTATACAATAGCTCGCAAACCACATAGGAGAGGTAACCCGCACTAGGCAAGCCCGACGCGACAAGCTCGACCCAGAAGGCAAACCCCTTGCTTTGCTGGCAAGGGGTTTCCAATTTGAGACCTCCAACATGGAAGTCCCAAGCCCAAACCACTGGGCCACCCCGAAGGGTCCCTTTGCGCCTTTTTTCATTAAAGCCCACGCTTCATTTGCGATTTGCACTTAAAGCCCCCACGGACCTTACAGCCTTTTTGCGCTTTTCGCCTTTGATAACACTGTTCTGTTGTGCATGTGTGCGTATTCTTTTTGAAGGTGGAG